TATATACAGTTGTTGTTATGTGCCATCGAGTTGCCTGCAACTCACAGCAACCCTATGTACAATAGCCCTGAACCCTGCTTCATCCTGTGCCAATCTTATTGTCTCTGACACACCCACTCCCACTACCCCATTACTGAATCAATCCATCTCATCAAGGGTCTTCCTCTTTTGCTCTATCCCTCCACCCTCTCAAGCATGATGGCCCTCTCCAAGGACTGGTCCCTCCTTGCAACATGTCCAAACTATGTCAGTTGAAGCTTAAGAATACTTGCCTCCAAGGAGCAGCCTGGTTTCACCCTCTCCAGGACAAACTTGTTCATTCTCTTAGCAGTCCATGGTATATTCAATACTCTTCTCCAGCACCACAGCTCAAAGGCATCAATTCTTCTATCATCCCTAGTCATTGTCCAGCTCTCTGATACACAGCAAGTAATTGCAAAGACTGTATCAGGTACACGTGTGTGTGTGTGTGTGTGTGTGTGTGTGTGTGTGTGTATGTGTGTGTATGTATATATGTGTATATATTTAAATGACTTGTATAGATATATTACATAGATAGATAGATAGATAGATAGATAGATAGATAGATAGATAGATAGAGATATATGACAAAAATATATTGCTGACATTAAGATGCTTTCTCTCTGGTCATTAATTTATTTTACACATTACCTTTTTTTAAAGCTTTTTGAATTTTGTTTTTAGGCTGCATATTTCATGCATAATTTTGTCATGAGCAAAATTCAATAATATTTCAATGGCACATCTGCTGCAGAGAGATCTTTTCAGAGCGATAAAGAGCATATTGTCAAGATCTGTTTTCAAGATTTATTTATTTCAATATCTATTTTCAGTCGATCATATTATAATAATAACAACATACGCATGTGAAAGTTGCACATAGAACAAGGAAGAGTGAAGAAGAGTTGAAGTTTTTAAATTGTGTACGGAGAGGAATATCGGACACATCATGGCCTGCCATGTACGCTCCTTAGAAGAGAGAATGGTGAGGTTTCGTTCACACACTTTGGGCCATGCTATGAGGAGGGGCCTTTTCTTGAGGAAAAACATCGTCAGCGGTAAATTAGGGTCAGAGGAAAAGAAGACTCTCAACGAGGTGGACTGATGCAGGGGCTGCAGCAAGAAACTCACAGTAGACACAGCAGCAGCTGTGAGGAAGGCGCAGGACTGGGAAATAGCTTTGTGGTGCATAAGGTCGTGAGGTTAGAGTTGATCTGACAGCATCTAACAACAGTTCCCTCCTGCATTCGTTGGCTATTGACTGTACAACTCTGTGGACATGAACAGCTCTGATCACCAGCTTATGCAACTCTTTTGCTCCACTTGAATTTACAAAGGCAAGTATCAGATATTGGTATCATCGGTGGAATTGTTTCCCCCTACATGGCAATGGGTTCAATTTCATGGATCCATAATCATTACTCATGGTAGCAGCAATCAAGAAATGAAAACTGTATTGCCTTGAGGAAATCTGCTTTCAAGGACCTCTCCAAAGCACTAAAGAGCAAGGATATCGCTCTAAAGAGTCAAGTGCACCTGATGCAAGCCGTGGTATTTTCAAGTGCTTCCTTTGTATCTGAAAGTTGGATAATGAATAAGGAAAGCCAAGGAGGAATGTGTTTGAATTGTAGTGCTGATGAAGAGTATTGAATCTCTTGAACTGACAAAAGAATAAACAAGGCTTTCAGGGTGGAAGTGGCAACCATGGTCCTTTTTAACGGCAAGGATGGGGAAATTTCATTTCACTGACGTTGGGCAAGTTGTCAAGAAGAGATGGTCTTTGGAAAAAGACATCATGCTGGGAGAGACAGACAGTGATAGAAAACGAGGAAGACCTTCACAAGACAGACTGACACAGCGACCATAATAGTGAGACCATGAGGGTAGGGCAAGCTTCAGACCTGATGTTCATAGGATTGCTGCAAGTTGTCATCAACTCAATGACACCTAATATCAACAACAACAACAACACAATATATGAAGCAAATCCTAACTTCTGTTTCACTGGTGGGGAGCTCTGGCGGCCTAGTTCATAGGAATTTTGTTCTAATAACCCAAAATCAGTGACTTTCTGGTAGTTTTAATTCACCAGCAGCTCTTTGGGAGAAAGATAGGCTTTTCCCACCCCCCGCCCCCATGCAATTAACAACTTCTAGAGGGTCATCGGACAAGCCAATTCTGACTTGATGGCAATGAGTCTTGAGCTCCATTTCCATGGATATCATTCCATCTGGGAGTGCATTCTCTTTGTTATGATAAAGAGGCAGGATTAGTGTAATTTGGTTCTTGAGTCACACTCTTGGTGGTGGTGGTGGTGGTAGTGTGTGCTGTTGAGTCACCTGCAAGTCATGGCGACCCTGTCTACAACAGCTCTGAACCCTGCTGTATCCTGAGCCAACCTCGTTGTCACTGACACACTTACCCCCATTACTCCAGTCACTGAGTCAATCCATCTCATCAAGGGTCTTCCTCTCCTGCACGGTCCCTCCACCCTCCCAAGCATGACATCCCTCTCCAAGGACCTGGTCCCTCCTTGCAACACGCTCAAAGTGTGTCAGAGGACAACCACCTGGACAACTGACTGGAAGAGATCCATATTAATTCCCATTCTAGAGAAAGGTGTGTGGAAATTATTGAACAATATCATTAATATCATATCCAAGCAAGATTTTTATGAAAATTATCCAAAACCTGCTGGAACAGCACACCAACAGAGATCTGCCAGATGGGCAGCCTGGGTTTAGAAGAGGCCATGGTACTAGGGATAGTATAGCTAATGTTAGATAATGCTTGGCTGAAAGCAGAGAATACCAGAGAAAAGTCTATTTGTGTTTCACTTACTATGCAAAGGCATTTGACTGTGTGGATCACGACAAACTGTGACTGACTCTGAGAAGAATGGGAATCCCAGAACCCTTGAATGTGCTTATATGAAACCTATACTTGGACCAAGAGGCATTCATCAAACAACGTAGGGAAATACTACATAGTTCAGAATCAGAAAAGATGCATACCAGGGATGCGTCCTATCACCATACCTTTTCAATCTATATGCAGAACAGTCACTCGCTTACAATACATAAAAACAATAAATTAAGCAGAGATGAGGGGAAACAAACTCCATGTCAAGTGCAGATCTCCAAGGAACCAGGAAACACAAACCAAAGAGACAGGGACTTCCCCTGAGATCAGACAGCTTCTGCTGGAGCTGTTGTTGTTGTTGTTATGTGCCAGTGACTCAGAACTGACTCTTAGAGGACCCCGTAGGGGGGTTGAAGAAGCAATAAATCATACAGGATTTCTCTGGTGGAGCAGCTGGTGGATTCAAACTTCTTGCCTCTAGGTGCACAGCATAGCATCTTAGCCACTAGGCCATCAGAGCTCCCTCTAGAGCTGTTGTTGTTGTGTCGTTGTGTACCGTAGAGTCGGAACTGACCCACAGCTGACCCTACAGGGGTGTTTCAGCAGCAGTTAATCACACAGGAGGAGACTGCCCATCTTTCTGCCACAGAGCAGCTAGTGGATTTGAACCCTATGCCTTTGGGATTGCAGTGAAGCTACTTACCACTAGGACACCAGAGTTGTTGTTGTCAGGTGCTGCCAACCCTAGAATGACTTGTAGCGACCCTGTGAACGACAGGCCTGACTCTTGTCCTATCCTGTCCATGCTCACCATCTCTCTCTCTCTCTTTCTCACACACACATACACACACACACACACACACACACACACAAGGCCATTGTTTCAGTCAGGTGGGACGCCACCTTGTTGTCCTTCCTTGGCACCCTCTCCCATTCCACATACAATGTCTCTGTCCAGGGAATAGCCTCTCCTAGCAACATTGTCCAAAGTATGAGAGATGAAGCTTCACCTCCTTGCTTCCCAGGAGCGCTTTGCTTGCACTCTTTGCAAGACACATCTCTTTGTTTGTTAGGCAATCCATTCCAGCCAATGACATTGCAAAAACTGGCATAGCAGCAGAGATAACTGAGGCAATGAGGAACAGGAGGGCGCCTTTGGGGACCATCCAAATCAACCGTGCAAGCATCTTGGTTGGTGCTGTTTCTTACCCCTGAAGAGGATAGGCTCCATTGGGGTCAGAACCATTCAGCATGACGTAAATCACCCCCGAACTATCCTTGGAATACTGCAAAGGAAATGAGGCAATTGAGAACATAAAAACAAGCACTTCTCACTTAGGAAATGGGCAATTTAAAAATAAAAGTTAGAGTTCTCAATATCGACAATGACGTGAGAAAGTCCGTAGAGAGTTGCATGGCCAACCCAAAAGTAAAGTGTCTCTGGTGGTTCCAATCTGCCAGTGACTTCTCGGGAGAAAGATAAACAACCTCCTCCCATGTGATTTAGAGCCTCTGAAAACCCACCAGAGGGTCAGCTATAAGCTGGTCCCAACTCAAGAGCAATGAGTTTTGAGTTATATGAGTTTGGTGGTGGTGGTTAAATGCCTTTGAGTCGGGTACAACTCATAATGACCCTATACACAACAGATCTGAGCCCTGTCCTCTCTGTACCAACCTCACACACTCAAGCCCATTGCTGTAGTTGACAATCTACCTGGGGAGGGGCTTCCTTTTCTTCACTGATCCTCCACCTCCCCCAGCATGATAACCCTCCCCAGGCAGAACGCCCAACGTGTGTGAGACAAAGCTTCAACATGTTTGCCTCTAACGATCACTCTGGTTGCCCCTTCTCTAAGACACATTGCTTTGTTATTTTGGCAGTCTGTGGGATATGCAGCTTTCTTCTCTAATACTGCAATTCATAGATATCAATTCTTCTGTCACCTTGGTCATTGCTCAACTCTCAGATGCATAGTAAGTGACTGAAAAGACCATTGCCTGAATCTGGTGCACCTTTCTCCTCAAACGGATATCATTGCCCCTCAATAATTATAACAGGTCCCTGACCACATCCTTTAATGGACATGGAAGGTACAGAGCGCGAATGTTCAAAAACTAGAAGTTGTGAAAAGTTATATGGCTAGTGGGACAGAAACTAGTATAATTTTCAAGAAGTGAATCACTTTAAAAGGTCCAAAAATCCGTACATTTAGTAATTCCATTTCTGAAATCTATCATTAACAAAAGGAAGAGGAGGTCTGGTGGCTACATTGTAAGGAATCACACTGTCAACACAAAGTTCTGTGGTTCAAATCCACCAGCTACTCTATGGGAGAAAGGTGGACCATCAATTCCCATGCCATTTACAGCTTCTGAAAACCTACTGGAGGGTCAGCTTCCAGGTCATTTCCAACTTGAAGGTACACAACAACAATGTCTAGGAATCTGCCGTTAACAAAAGGAAGAACACCTAAATAGCATCGCGCTGGTTGGAATAGAATAAGTCATGCTGTCATACCAAAACTTTCAAAATCACCACGGTTTTAAACCACAAAGATGTCTCTCTTGCTCACACTACATACTTATCATGGTTCTGTTGGGATTTGGCCCCGATGGCCTCCCTCTGGGTGATAAAGTTCCCACCTTTACAAAGTCTATTATAATCAAGAGAGAAGAAAAGGTAAGTTGCAAATCACATACCCATTCTGAAAGACCTCCACCTGAAAGTCACATAAGCCATGTCTGCTCACATTTCACTGCTAATGTTAATCACTTGGACAAGTCTGACTTCAAGGAGGCCAAACTTCTTACAAACCTCTCTGGCAGCCTCACTACACCAGCCACTCTTCTGGGGAAACGTGAGCAGTCACCTCCCATGCAACTTTTAGCCTCTGAAACCTGATGGACAGTCGGCAATGAGTCAGTCCTAATTTGATAGCAGTGGGTTTTCATGGCTAACAGACTGAATCGTTGACCAGTCCTGTACATCCTCACAATAGCTATTTTGTTTTGAGTTCATTGCTGCAATCACTGTGTCAAGTCCATCTCTGATGCTGTGTTCTAATTAATCGAGGTGGACTCTTTATATCCCTGCTTCTAAGAAACATTATAATTGTACCTCCTCCAAAATGGAATCGCTCCTTCCTCTATCAGTTCTCAGTTCATTCAATATTTTTCTTCAACACTAAAGTGCAGCTGTACAGGTTCTTCTTGAGTCTTCCTTTTGCATTGTTCAACTTTCAAATGCATATGAAGCAACTGAAAAGAGCATGGTCTGATTCACCTTAGTCTTCAAAGTGAGATTCTTGCTCTTTAAGATTTTATAGAGGTCATTTACTTTACATTTGTTGTTTGTTGTTGTTATGTACCGTTGAATCACCAGCTCCGAACCCTGCCCTATCCTGAGTCAGTCTCACTGGCTCTGACATACTTAATTCCATTGCCCCAGTTATCATGTCAATCCATCTCACCTGGAGTCTTTCTCTCCTGTGCTGTTCCACCATCCTTCTAAACATGGTGTCCTTTTCCAAGGATCAGGCCTTCTTGGTCTCCTGTCCAAAGTATGTGAGAGGGAGCTTCAAAATCTGTGCCTCGAAGAAGAGACTTGGTTTCACCCTCTCTAAGACAGACTTATTTGTTCTCCCAGCAGTCCATGGTATGTTCAGTACTCTTCTCCAGCACCACAACTCAAAAGCATCAATTCTTAGTCATTGTCCAGCTCTCTGACACATAGCATGTAATTGTGAAGATCATGGCCTGCATCAGGTGCACCTTAGTCTCTAAGACTAACATCATTGCTCCTCAGTACTCTGGAGAGATCCCTGACAGCAGGCTGCCCCAATACAATAAGGTATAATGTACATCATGGTAATAATAATGATGCCTATTTAACATCTTCATCTTTAGCTCATGTTGTTAGGTAGACTCCACCTCACAGCAACCCTGCCCGATCCTGTGACATCCTCACAATCTCTGCTGTGTTTAAACCCATTGCTGCAGTTGCTGTCTCAAACCAGCGCGGTGAAGGTTTTGTAGACTCTTCACATCTCCAACCACAATGTCCTTTTCTGAGGAAGTGCTCCTCCTGATAATACGCCCAAAGTGGTGGTGGTGGTGGTACTGCTGCTGCTGTTGTTCTGAGGCATTGAGTTGACAACAATTCATAGCAACCGTATCAACTACAGTTCTGAATCTTGCCCTATTCTGGGCCAACCTCACCATATCTGACACTCATAACCCCATTACCACAAAGTCATGAGAGCAAATCTCACCATTCTAACCTCTAAGGAATTCCCGGTCTGCACCTGTTCTAAGACTGATTTCTTGATTCTTTTAGTGATTTGTGGTATATTTAATGCTCTTTGTCAAAACTCCAATTCAAGGGCCATGATAGCTAGAATTCATTAAACAGTTCCTCTGTGTCAGACATGCCGTTAAGGCCTCCTTGATCCTCCCAACATTATAGATCACAAAGGATGGGTCTGGATACCACCAAAATGGAATAGAAGCTCAGAGAAGACTCGTTGACTCAGCTTCAGTGATATTTTAATATCATGTCCATGACGACTTGTCTCACCTGTGCCCTGGTACCCAGCCCGGGATTACCTGAATGGAAGCCCTTTTCCAGTAAGAATCCACAGGATTGTTTTCACAATCTGCCGATGTAGGGCAGGACTGGTAGTCGGGTTCTAGAAGAAAAACAAAAAGAATGAAAGAAAGCGCATTTCATCTCAAAGAAGATATTGTTGGGGTTGTTCTTTTTTGTGATTCCGACTGCCGGTGACCTTACAAGACAGAGTGGAACTTCCACATGGAGCTTTCTGGGCTGTAGTCTTTTCAGGAATCTGGCCCAGTGATGGCATTCCTTATATGTGGGGCTCCTTACGTGTTAGATTGTTTCCCAAAAGGTTAGCTGTTGGAACCCACTCGCTCCTTTGAGGGAGAAAGAGAATCAATCTCCATCAATCTCCACTCCTAACAATGTTCAACTTGGAAACTCAGAGACGGTTGCTATGGGTCAGAGCTGATTCCACAGCAGAGGAATTGATCTTGATGGGCACAGATCACAAGGTCATTTCCACTATGGAAGCTACTGGTGCATTAAAACTTCCAAACTCTCTGTTAGCAACCCAACACTTGCTCACTGTGACGCCAAGCCTTATGAAAGATTGCACTGTTGTTGTTACATGCCATTGAGTCAGAACCAACTCATATCTGACCCTCCAATGGGTTTTCAGAGGCAACAAATCACACAGGAGTCAAATGCCCATTTGTCTCCTGCAGAGCAACTGGTGGATTCAAACTGCTTACCCTTAGGTTGGCAGAGCAGCTACTTACCACTAGGCTACAAGAGCTCCCTAAAGTTTGTATTGGGAATATTCAATTTCAAGTATTTGCTGGCTCCACTAAATACATTTAGCCTGTCCGTAGCACGACGCACACACGTTTATCAATCGATCCTGTCCACCCAGAATGTGAGACTTGCTAAGAGACTATCATGATGTGAACTTATGTATCTTTTTTCTCAAGCAATAACGTGAGGAAGATGAGGCACAAAGCCATGAATGAGAGAATGTAACTGACCGTGCAGCGTCAGGATGCACTATGTCTCTACTGCTGTCACTAGTCAAGTGACAAAGTCTGACCCTCTTGGGATAAGTTGTTGTTAAGTGCCATCGAGTCACTTGGGATTCATAGTAACCCTGCATACAACAGCTCTGAACACTGCTCTACACTGAGCCCACCTTATCGTCCCTGGCACACCTACTGTCACTATCCCAGTCACTGAGTCAATCCATCTCATCCAGGGTCTTCCTCTCCTGTGCTGTCCCTCCACCCTCCCAACTATGACATCCATCTCCCATAACTGGTCTCTCCTTGCAACATGCCCAAAGTATGTCAAACAAAGCTTCAGAATTCTTAATTCAATCCTCACTCTCAGCTATGAAAGTAAATATAAGAAAATAATAGTTCAAAATCCCAAAATTTTATAACTCTTAAATATTTTTCTAAAATCTGCTGTCAAGGACCTCTGGCTTACTAAAGAGCAACAATGTCCACTCAAAGACTAAGATACACCTGATCCAAGCCATGTGTTTGGTTTTGGTTTGGTTTTTTTTGTTTTGTTTTGTTTTTAATTGCTTCCTATACATCTGAAAATTGGACAATGGATAAGGATGACAAGGAAGAATTGAGCCTTTGAATGGTTGAGCTGGTGAGGAATATTGAATATCCCATGGACTGTCAAAAGCAAAATCAAGTCAGTCTGGGAGGAAGTACAACCAGGGCCTTGCTTAGAGGCGAGGATAGTGAAACTGTATCTCACAGACTTTGCACATGTTGTCAAGAGGGGTCAATCAAGCATGCTGGGAAAGACGGAAGGTCAGAGAAAGAAAGGGAGACCTTGAACAAGATGGGCTCAGCCAGTGGCTTAGTGACATGGGCTTTGAGGGCCGTTAAAGTACCTCTGATACCCTGAGAGGCAAAATCTCTGATATTCTGGCTGGCAACACCTTCCGTCACCTTCCTTGCTGGTCTCCCCTCTGGTTTGCCCCAGAGCCTCAGTGCGAGTCCCCAGCAATCTCTAGATGTTCTGGAATAAACGACAGAGCATGCAGGTCTTTCGGCAGTCCCTGGGACATTCCGTGGATTCCAAGTAAAGTACAAGCTAGTTATTGTTATTTATGGGCCAATCTCCTCCCGTGTGATAACTGCCTCTGAAAATCCGCCAGAGGGTCAGCGATGGATCAGTTCCCACTGGACGGTACACAACAACAACCACAGCCGTCTGAGTCGAGGGCCTAACGAGTAAACCAAAGAGCTAAGTGGAAACAAATGGAGGTAAAAATGTAAATAATTAAATATACAAGCCGGAAGCACATCGTAAGTAAGAACTCCTGCTCCTCTTTATGCTGTGCAGGCATCAGTCTTACCAGAGCCGTTTGTCTGTCGGCACCAGCTCAGGAAATCGCCGACCCTGCCGTACAGGACATCACACAGAGGCATGAAGCGACGGGCGTTCTCCGAGTAGCTGGTCACGAGTAGGTGGTTGTTCTCCCAGAAGAGGGACTAGAGGTAAACAAAACAAAGCAAAGTTCAAGGGCAAAACAAAATCATAACAGGTTTCTCAGGTCTAAAACCAAGGCACGTCAGACAACCTGATTTTCCATTCGGGTGACTTGTTACACAATCATCCAGCCTTTATAAGTCTGGGTTTTCACAGGGCTGCACAGTTTGGTGGGTGGAGGAGGCGGGGGCAAGGAAGGGAGAAGGATCCAGGCGAAAAGACAGGTCTGATGGTGATGAATTTTACAAACATAATGGATGAGAATGATTGTATGAAACACAATGTGGAAGAATACTGTGAAACATAATATATACGAACTCTGTAAGCAAACTAACATAACACAATATCTGGGTTTTACAAAATATTATTATAAAAGCACTTGAAACTGTCAACAGCTTCATCTTGCTTGATTCCACAATTAACACTCTTGGTACCGACAGTCAAGAAGTAAGGAGAGGTATTGCACTGGGAAATTTCCAGTTAGGGACCTTTCCAAATTATTGAAGAGCAATGATGTCAGTTTGAGGACTAATGCACATCTGATTTAGGCGATGGTCTGATTCATGATTCAGGCCATGGTCTTTCCAATCACTTGCTATGCATCTGAGAGCTGGACAATGAATAAGGATGACAGAAGAAGAATTGACACCTTTGGGCTGCAGTATCGGAGAAGAGCCCTGAACATCCCGTGGACAGTCAAGAGAACCAATATATCTTGGAAGGGGTGCAGCTGCAGTGCTCTTTGGAGGCAAGAATGATGAGGCTTCACTTCACATACTTTGGGCATGTTGCTAGGAGGGGCTGTTCCTTGGAGAGCGACATGATGCTGGGAAGAGTGGAGAATCAGCAAAGAAGAGGAAGACCCTCAACCAGGTGGACTGACACAGTGACTACCACAATGAGCTCTTGTGTGTCAGGAAGTGTGAGGATGGCACAGGATAGAACAGGGGTTCAGACCTTTTGTTCATAGGGTCACTGAGTTGTACTTGACTTGACAGCATCTAACAACAACAACAATTACAAAAGCACTAACTTTCTCCTCCAAAAGAGCTCTAGTGGCCTAGTGGTAAGAAGCTGCATTGTCAATCCAAAGGCATGTGGTTCAAACACGCCAGGTTTTCCACAGGAGGACAGGCAGTTTACTCCCGTGAGAGTTACTCTGAAAACCTAATGGAGCTTGGTTTCTGAACTGTTCTGATTCAACAGTACACGACAACACCCTCTTCTCCTCCAGTTATAACAGGGTATCATGAAAATAGTAATATACCCCCATGGTACAAATTAGAGGAAAGTTTCTTGGATTACAAAGGACCAAGGGGCCTGACTGCTGGCTCTGTGAGACGCTCGAGGTGTGGTGCTGGGTCTTATTTCCGGCCAGCTCGCTGCACACACAGCCACCACCCTGTCCGAGTGGGCTCACTCGCTACCATGATTCTGACCATCTATCAGTGGAGCTTTCAGACTAAGGAGGGTTAGAAAGAAAGGTTGTGTTTTTGCTGTTGTGCCTCCAACCCTGGGCAGAGTCACCAGCTCACAGAAGCAGCTCATTCAGTACTTATTGAGTTCCACTAACTAGTACATCTGTCTATAAGAGAGGAGAGTGGCTGAGAGGCAACGCTCCACATAGAACAACTGTTACAAAACCACTTTGTGGTCAACATGTTTGAAACTTGCAACTCCATTTACTGGTCTTGATCAATACTTACTGTTGTATTTGAGTTTACAGAGTTAAATCCACCCTGCAGGAATGTTTCAGCACAGCCATTAGTTATTAATCAGAAGGTCAGTGGTTCAGACCTACTAGCCAGTTCACAAAAGAAAAGTGGGGCCCTGTGACCCCCTAAAGATTCACTTGGTAACTGTTCTGGGGGGACCATTCTTCTCTGTCCTGTAGAGTTGTTGACACTTGGAATCAACTTGGTAGCCGTGGCCTTAGTTTTTTTGTTTTTGACGACCTTGAAAAGAGTCCAGAATGAAAGCTGCACAGTGGAGTGGACAGGGGGAGGGGGAGATTACATAACAATGAAATAATTTCTTTTTCTTTAGAAGAGAAAAGTGAATTGGGGCGGGGGGAGAGTATGGGAAGGGAGGAAAATGTGCAACAATGAATGAATGGAAATCCAAAGTCTCTGTAAACTTTTATTAAAATTAATTTTTAAAAAAAGAACAAACCAACCCAAACAAATGGCTGGGAATGGGTTAACCAGAACCTAACCGGAGGCAGAAGCGAGGATGCTCCATGCTGTGGACTAGGGTCGATTGCTACAACCTGATGGCGTGCTTTGGACTGGAATTTGCTCGTAGATGAAGGTGCTCAAAGTTGCCAAGGTGAATAGAGGATCCTTCAGCAAAAGGGACGTGCTTGTTCCCTCAAGGTTTGATAGTGATGGGCAGGTCAGAAACTGACTGTCTTATCATTATCTTGTCATTAGGGCATGAGGCATGAATCAGCAGGCTTACACGCTTTCATGAAGGAAATTATTAGCATGATACTTGAAGGGGGGGAAGCTACAATATACATGAATGAAATATAATGTAAATTAAACTAATAATAGAAATAAGATTTGCTACTGGGAGGACCTTGAGGTTGAGGGTTCTCTGACCCACTGCCTGAATCAGAACCCTGTGGGGCCAGTTACTCACTCAGAAGTAACCTGTGAACAAGGATTTGAATCCTTCCTGTCCTGCGCCGTCCCCATCATCCCTGAGCTCATTGTTGTGGTCGCTGTGTCAATCCCTCTCGTTGAGGGTCTTCCTCTCTTTCACGGCCTCTCCACTCCTCCAAGTAAGTATGCTGTCCTTTCCCAAGGATTGGTCCCTCCTAACAATATGCCCAATAAGGGAGGATTTTTGTCTTTTTGATGTTGAGATGTAATCCATACTGAAAGCTGGTTGTCAAGCATCAAGTGTTTCTACAATGCAAGGACCTTTCCACCTCTGCAGGGACTGAGAAATGCACGTGTTTGTTCAGTTACCTTGTCTTTGGGAATGGCATGCCAGGAGAGGTCAATAAAACGGTCATAGTCGGAGGGAACAACAGCACAGGGATCCTTGTCCAGCACCACGCGAAAGGCCTCCCAGATGGCTGTGCAGTTCTTGTCTCTGTTCAAACATACAAGTTTTTAAAAAATAACAGCGCATACCACCATGTATTGTGAAACATTTCCACAACTCTCCAAGGACTCCAAGGGCTTCATAAGCAATTCCAGTATGTTGATTTTTCAGAACTGATCCCCTAACGCCCATTGTCATTGAGTTGATCCCCTCTCACAGCAACTCTATAGGATAGAGAACTGTCTCCCAAAGTTCACAATGCTGCAATATTTACAAACCAATTTGCTACAGGGCCTTCTCGAACGTGCTAAAGAGTAAGGGCATCACTTTAAACACTAAGGTGTCAACAAGAGCAAAGTTCAACAGGGTCGCAAACAACAAATGCTGGCGAGGTTGCGGAGAGATTGGGACTCTTATACACTACTGGTGGGAATGTAAAATGGTACAGCCACTGTGGAAGGCTGACTAGCACTTTCTCAAAAAGTTGGAAATGTAAATATCATTTGACCCTGCAATTACTGCAAATAAACCCTAAAGAAACCAAAGCCATGACTCAAACAGATGTATTATTGTTCTTTTTGTTGTTATGTGCCATCAAGTCGTTTGCGACTCATAGCGACTCTATGTACAAGAGCACTAAACGCCGTTCTATCCTGTGCCAACCTCGCCGTCTCAAACACACTCATTCCCACCACTCTCACAGAATCGATGCATCTCATCGAGGGTCTTCCTCTCCTGTGCTGTCCCTCCACTCCACTCTCCCAAACATGATGGCCTTCTCCAAGGACCAGTCCCTTCTTGCAACATGCCCAAAGTATGTCAGACGAAGCTTCAGAATCCTAGACTCCAGGGAGCATTCTGGCTTCACCCTCTCTAGGACAAACCTGTTTGTTCTCCTTGCAGTCCATGGTATATTCAATACTCTTCTCCAGCACCACAGCTCAAAGGCATTAATTCTCTATCATCCCTATTCACTGTCCAACTCTCCGATGCATAACACATAATTGCAAAGATTATAGCCTGAATCAGGCACACCTTAGTCTCCAGCCAGACATCGTTGTTCTTCAGAACTCTTGAGAGGTCCCTCACAGCTGACTTTCCCAATGCAATTCGTCTCCTGATTTCCTGGCTGCTGTTACCAAGAGCGTTGACTGTGGAACCAAGTAAACTAAAACTGTTAACTATCTCAATCTCTTCACCATCCACATCCATATTTATTGCTGTGTTTTTCACAACAGCAGAGTTGGAAGCAACCCGAGTGCCCATCAGCAAAGGAATAGATAGAAAAACTATGATGCATTTATGCAATAGAATTTTACCCAGCATTGAAAAACAGTGAATGCATAAAACTTTACATAACATAGAGGATCCTGGAGGACACTATGCTGAGTGAAATACCTCAGTCACAAAAGGACAAATACTGCATAACATTGCTGCTATAAAATAGGACAGACATGGGGTGTTTGGGGAAAGAATAAGAAAAGAGTGGATAGCTACTGAACATTGCATTGGATCAGGTAGAGGGAAGAACTGTCTGTAAGGAATATACACTTAGCATTACAGGTATGACAACAATCTGGAAGAAGGAGTGCAACGCAGGGAGGGCTGAGGGAGGGAGAAGAAAGTGGGAGGCGAAAATTAAAAAAATTTAAATAAAACATTTTCAAAGGAAAAAAAATAAACAATAAAGTATGCCTGACTCAAACTGGGCTGTGTTCCATCATTTCGTAAGCATGTAAAAGTTAGACAATGAATAATAAAAGACCAAAGAAGAGGCGACACCTTTGAAATGTGGAGCTGGTGAAGCATATTGAACTTATTATCATGGACTGCCAAGTTCAACTCCAAACTAATGCTCTGAGTCAGAACCAGCTCAAAGCTGACCCTCCAGGGTGAGTTCTGAGGCTGTAAGTCACATGGAAATGACTGGCCATCTTCCTCCCAGGAGCTTCCAAGGGATTCGAACCACCAATGAGACACAGGTTATGGGCTATCAGCACAACTCTCTATGGACTATTCCACCAAAAGAACGACTAAATCTGTCTTAGAAGAAGTACAGGTCATAAAAAAAAATTTAAAAAAAAAAAAAAGTACAGGTCAAAGGGAGCTCTGGTGGCCTAGTGGCATGAAGTTGCACTGCAATCCCAGAGGTAAGTGGTTCGAATCTACCAGATGCTTTGCTGGAGAAGGAGGGGCAATCTCCTCCTGTACCAGTCAGATCTGATTTGATGGTACACACAAAATAATAATAATTAAAAAAAAGAAAAAGAAGTACAGTCAGAGGGTTCCTTAGCAGCAAAGCCTTTGGGCATGCGATCAGGAAGAGCTGGCCCCTGGAGAAGGATGCCAGGAGTGGAAAAGGAGATCAACAAGAAAGAGAAAGCCTTCAACGAGAGGATTGTTCACACGGTGGCGGAGACCATGGACTTGAGCACAGCAGAGACCATGAAAAGTGCACAGAATGGGCGGGGTCTCTGTAACCTGCAACACAAAGTCCCCCTGAGCTGGTGCCAACTCAACAGCCCCCAGCAACAGCCTTTATCAAACCTCTTTCCCAGAGAGCAGCTGGTAGGTTTGAACTGTCAGCCTCTCAGTTAGCAAGCAAATGCTTAACCTCTGTGCCACCAGAGATCCTGCTCTGAAGAACCAGCTATGAAAAAATGACAGGAAATTGTCACAGCTCTTGCATGAACTGGAAATCCGAAGTGTAAAGAAATAACATGGATAGTCTATTGCAAAACTGGCACTCTCCCTGAGTGTCTCCAAATGCCCTTCTCGGTTTCTCAGCCCTGAGGGATGCAGCCTTGCCACAGAATCCCTGAGAAATGAGCTCAGTACCAGGCATGTAGACGTGACAGTGGGAGTCAGGTCACTGACAGGGCATAAGGGCCGAGTGAGGTCACACAGGTGGGTCATTGCTGTCAGGTCCCTGCCAACTCCTAGGGGTTCTGTGAGGGCAGAGCTGGCTTTCCAGGGCTTTCAGTCCTTAAGAGGAGCAGCCCCAGGGTGTAGCCTGCAGGCACTCGCTGTTGCAGTGGTCATGGTCAGCTGTTCAAGTCCTTGCGAGAAAGAAGTGGTCCTCCGCTTCCATAAAGATCCCTTCCCATCATAAAAAGCTAAAATTCGTGTTTCCTGAGGCTGTAAAGTCTCTGGGAAGAGACTCCCTGTCTTTCTCCTGCAGAACAGCTGGGGGATTTGAACCACTGACCTTTCAGTTAGCTGCACAACTCATAACACACTATATATACTACCACAAATAGTATCCTTGCAGGCCTGAAGAAGCAGTTCAACTCTTCTCTGTCCTCACTGTTGTTGTTATGTGCTGTCGAGTAAGAACCTTCTCACAGCTGACCTTCCAGTGGGTTTTCAGAAGTTTAATCACAGTAGAGGAGATTGTCCATCTTTCTCCCGCAGAGTGGCTGGTGGTTTCGAACCACGTGTCTTGGAGATTGTGGAGCAACTCCTTACCACTAGGCCACCAAGGCTCCCTGATGCACTTTACAAGTAAGAATTAACTCTACGCAATAGGTTAATCTCTATGGAAGGAGATTCTAGATTTTAAAAGTAACTTTCACCACAAAAAGATAAAGGTAAACAATCTAATAGAAAAATGGGCACAGGATATGAACAGACACTTCACCAAAGAGGACATTAGATGGCTAACAAGCACATGAAGAAATGTTCAAAATCCCTAGCTCTAAGAGAGATGCAAATCAAAACAACTATGAGATATCATCTCACCCAAGTCAGAATAGCAAAATTTAACAGAGCAGCAAGCAACAAATGCTGGTGAGGTTGTGGAAAAACTGGAACCCTTATTCATTGTTGGTGGAAATGTAAAATGGTGCAACCACTGTGGAAGGTGGCGTGGCACTTTCTCAAAAAGTTGCAGATATAGATACCATTTGACCCAGTGATTCCACTACTGGGAATATACCCCAAAGAGACCATAACTGCCACTCAAGCAGATATATGCACACCCATGTTTACTGCAGCTTTGTTCACAATAGCAAGGAGTTGGAAACTAAGTGCCCATCAACAAACGAATGGATAGATCCTGGAGGACACTATGCTGAGTGAAATATCTCAGTCACAAAAGGACAAATACTGCATAGTGCCACTGTTGTAAAACAGGACTAACATCAGGGTTGGGGGGAGACTGAGAAAGATGGGTTCAATAATGTATACTGCACTGAAACAGATGAGGGAGAAAACTGTTTAAGAGGGATATGTGATTAGGTATTATTGTCATAACAGAAGTCCAGAACGAAGGCTGCATAGTGGAGTGGACTTGGAGGGAGGGATTGCATAACAATGAAAGAATTTTTCTTTTCAAAGAGAAAAGCAAATTGGGGGGAGGGTGGGGTGGGCAGGAAGAAAAGTGCAACAATGAATGACTGGAAACCCTAAGTTTCTGTAAACTTTCATTAAAATTAATAATAATTAAAAAGAAAAAAGAAAATGGCAATGATTTTAAAAATTGAAGGGAAATTCCAACCAGCTGAGGACACAGTGACTGTACAGTAGGTCAAAAGCACAGAGAATGGTGCAGGATCTGGTAGTGTCTGTTAACTGCAGCTGACTCAGAGGTCCCCCAACAATGACAACACAACTGGCAGAGGGCACTGTGCAACATAAGAGTGACTCTGAAGAAGGAATAAATGCTAGTCAGAAGTGTAGCTGAGTCTCAAGTTTAGAAAGTTCTTTAGATTAGAGAACTTCAAACTTGAATTCTTTAACCAACTGGACACGAAGATCCTAGACACTCTATTCCAGGATCCAGGGTGGAGAGTGGGAGAAGGAAAGGAAGACCCTCAACAACATGGATTGACACATGACTGTAACGATGGGCTGGAGGACATCAGAGGTGGTGAGGATGGCACAGGATGGGGTCAGGGTCAGACCTGCAGTTCGTAAGGTCACTATGAGTCATGATTGACTCAGGGGCACAAAACATCAACAACAGCGTCATGAGAACTCACCTCTACCTCACATTCACCTCAAGACCCGCCCCATCTGCCTCTGCCTCTGCCTCTGCCTCCGTGTGTGTGTGTGTGTGTGTGTGTGTGTGTGTGTGTGTGTGTCTCTTTCTCTCTCTCTCTGTGTCTCTGTCTCTCTCTCTGTCTCTCTCTCTCTCTCTCTCTCTCTCTCTCTCGTTCACAAACATAACATACACACACCACTCAGGGGAACACAGGTCCTCTCACCTCTAGAAGCCTCACCTCCATCATATGCTTCTTTTCTTAAAAAAAATTCTTTTATATTGCTTTGCTTACAAAGTTCATATACACTGTGTTTCACACTAGTCTTCATTCACATTGTGTTTCATTCCCATGCACTATGTTGTTTTGGGGTTTTTTTTTATACTGGTTTATTTACAAAGTTCATATACATTGTTTTTCACACTGGATCGTTCCCATTTCCATCACCCACCACTCCGTGCACTACGTTTTGTAAAATTAATCCCCATTAGACCATGTCCATCCTGTCTTTTCAGGTCCCTGCTGGATCCTTCTCATTTCTTAAGGCGAGGAAAACCCCCAATGAGACAGATTGAAACAGTGACTGCAGCAGAGTGTGTCCGATATTGTGGGACTGACTTAGGATAGGACAGGGCTCAGATCTGTTGAGTTGTACTCCACCGGGTGGGGCGCGCGGGCTGGGGGCCCAAAACAAAACCCCTCTCATCTCATATGCAAGCTCCTTTCAGCTCTAAGCCCCTGCACCTTACCACGTGCCCATACACCTCTAGATCTTTCCCCACCACACACACATCCTAGACCCCTAGCCTCATTTTGAAGCGCACACACACCTTACCAGCAGAGTGGTCCCCCTGCTCCCCACACCGTCCTCATCCCTCGCTCTCCACCTCACTAGCCTCGCCCGCCCTTGCCTCTTCCTAATGTCCTCCCTCTCGCTAACTCCCCAATCCCTTGCAGGCTCACCTCAGTTCCGGACTGAGAAGCGAGGTGTAGTCACTACAGCGGCCCAGGAAGATGCTCTCCAAGTGAGGGTTGGTGCCCTCACCGCTCCACCGCGCGCCCTGACCGCCCTGTGCGCCCGCACCACCCGCCGCCAGCAGCAGCAGCAGAAGCAGCAGGGTGCGCCCAGACGCCTCCATGGGGCCACTCTGACCTCGCAGCTCCGTGCGCCCGGACTGGACTCCCTTCCTTCTCCGGAGGCAGCGTCCCTGCTGACGCTGGCTGGACTCTGGTCCTAACACCACTCCCTCCTGTCTACAGCTCCGAGAAGGAGGTTGGAGCATCTCAGCCTGCTCTCTCCACTCCTGAACTGAGTCTGAAAAGAGGACCTTGACACCGGGAAGCCCCAGAGGAAACTAGGCTGCTGGAGAGACGATAAGAGCTCGGTCATTAGAGCAAACAAGATTCTTCTTGTCATGTTAATAGAAAACTTCCGTTTTACCACCAAGCCACCTGAATACCCAATACTGCAGACAGAGTGTGGAGTGGGGAAAGCAAAATTCTTATGTACAAGTTTATAGGTGTGTCAGGGCTGTATTCTTTCTCTATATTCAAGCTGAATTCTGAGCAAACCATTGGTGAAGTTGGAATCTAAAGAAGATTGCACATCAAGATTGAAGGAAGACTCATCAACAACCTGTTATGCAAATGTCACAATTTTGCTTGCAGAAAGTGAAGAGGACTTGAAATACTTGCTGCAGAAGGTCGATGAATGTTGTGTTGTGTGTATTGTGTATCACCAAGTCTGAACCGATCTATAGCTGACCTTCCAGTGGGCTTTGAGGCAGTTAATCCCATAAAATGAGATTGCCCGGCCTTCTCCCATGAAGTATCAGGTGGATTTGAACCATGTTCCTTCAGGATTGCAGCACAGATTCTCACCACTAGGCCACCAATATAACCTTCAATATAGATTGTTATTGTTGTTGTGTGCTGTCGAGTCACCTGTGACTCATAGCAACCCTATGTATAACAGCCCTAAACCCTGCCATATCCTGTGCCAATCTCACTGTCTCCGACACACCCACCCTCTCCATATAGATTACATGTCAATCAATATTAAGGGGGGGAAAACCCCCACCTCTCACTATTGGACCTATAGGCAACATCATGGTAGATGGAAAACAGATTGAAGTTGTGAAGAATTTCATTTCACTTGGATCCAAAATCAATGTTCAGTAGCAGCAGTCAAGAAATCAAAAGGTATGTTGCACTGGGAACTCTGTTCTCAAAGACCTTTCCAAAGTGCTGAAAAGCAATGGTGTCAGTTTAAAGACTAAGATGTGTCTGATCCAAGTTACAGTCTTTTCCACTGTCTTAAGCATTTGAAAGTTGGACAAAAAAAAAAAAAAAAAAAAAAAAAAAGTTGGACAAAGAACAAAGATGACAGGAGGAATCAATGGCTTTGACTTGTGGTGCTGGAGGACAGAACAAGAGCTGTCAAAACAACAAGCTAGTCTAACCTGGAGGAAGCACAACCAAGATGCTCCTTAGAGGCAAGGATGGGGAAATGTCATCTCACATCGTTTTGGCATCTTGTAAGGAGAAGATAGTCCTTGGAAACAGACAGCACGCTGAGAAATTGAAGAATCAGAGAAAGAAAGACCCTCAACAAAATGGTTTGACACAATGAGTTTAACAGGCTTGAGCATATCAGAGATTATGAAGATGGTGCAGGATAGGGCTATTATGAGTAATAGTCGACTCCAAGCACCTAACACAAAAAACCACCATATAGAGGAGTATTTACTAGTGTCTAGGAGAGGGAGCTCTAGTGGCCTAGTGGTAAGAAACTGCGGTGCAATCCCAAGGGCACATGTTTTGAATCCACCAGCTGCTCCATCCATGGTAGCACGGGCAATCTTCACCCGTGCAATTAACTGCCTCTGAAAACCCACTAGACGGTCAGCTACGGGTCATTTATGACTTGATGGTACAACAAAAATAACAGGAGAGGGAGCTCCAGCCATTCAGTGGCTAAGGAGTTATGCTGCCAGCCCAGTCAGGTGGGTTGAATTTACCAGCCGCCACATGAGAAGAAGGTGGACAATCTCCTCCTGTGTGATTTACAGCCTCAGAAATTCCCCTAGAGCATGGGCTGAGTCCATTCTGACTCTGCAACAATGAGCGAGGGTGGCAGGGCCCATAGAGGGCTGTGCTGCTAACCCTTGGTGGTGCCTCTCTGGTGGTTCAAATCCCCTGGCAGCTCTTTGGGAGGAAGATGAGCAACCTCCTCCAGTGTGATTTCCAGCCTATGAGAAACAATGGAGGGGCAGCTATTCATCAGTTCTGGCTCAACTGGCAATTAAGCTTTGTGGTTTGGGGGATACTTTTTTAAGTATATAGGAGAAAGGGTTTATGTATGTAAACACTTTCTCCTATATACTTAAAAAAAAGTATACAGGCCATGGTCTTTGCAATCACTTGTTATGCATCAGAGAGTTGGACAATGACTAGGAATGATAGAAGGAGAATTGACGCCTTTGAGCTGTGGTGCTGGAGAAGAGTATTGAATGTATGTACCATGGACTGCTAAGAAAACAGATTCACCCTGGAGAGGGTTAAACCGGGCAGCTCCTTGGAGGCAAGCATTCTGAAGCTTCATCTGACATACTTTGGATATGTTGTAAGGAGAGACCGGTCCTTGGAGAAGGACATCATGCTTGGGAGGGTGGAGGGACAGCGCAGGAGGGGAAGGCCCTCTATGAGGTGGATTGATTCAGTGACTGGGGTTAATCAGGATGGGTGTGTCGGAGATAGTGTGATTGGTACAGGACAGAGCAGAGTTTAGGGCTGTTGTACAAAGCGTCTCTATGAGTCGCAGGTGACTCGACAGCACATAACAACAGGAGAAAGGGGATATGTCTTCTATTGTTGTTTTGTGCCCTTGAGTTAGAACTGTGCGTCATAGCTAACCTTCCAGAGGGTTTTCTGTCAGCCTTTATGTTGGCAGTGCAACTCCTTACTGGCTAAGCCACCCGAGCTCCTTGGTGTTATTTTATTGTTGTTGTTGTTGTGTGTTTTCAAGATGCCTGTAACTCATAGTGACTCTAGGTACCACATCTCTGAAGCCTGCCCTGTCCTGAGCCGGTCTCACTGACTCTGACACACCTACCCTCATTGACCCAGTTATTATATCAATCCATCTCAGCTGAGGTCTTCCTCTCCTGCGTTGTCACTCCACCCTTCCAGGCATGATGTTCTTCTGTAAGGATCAGTCTCTCCTTGCCACATGCCCAAAGTATGTGAGACAGCTTCACATCCTCCAAGGAGGAATTTGGTTTCACCCTCACCAAGAGAGACCTATTTGTTTTCTTGGCAGTCCATGGTATATTCAAGACTCTTCTCCAGCACCACAGCTCAAAGGCATCAATTCTTCATTTAGTCATTGTACAGCTCTCTAATGCATAGCAAGTAACTGCAAAGACCATGGCCTGGATCAGACACACCTTAGTCGCTAGACTGACATCGTTGCCTCTCAGCACACTAGAAAGGTCCCTGACAGCAGATTTATCTAATGCAATCCGTCTTTTGATTTCCTGCCTGCTGGTACCAAGATAATTGATTGTGGAGCCTAGCAAGCTGTAATTGTTAACAACCTCAATCTCTTCTCCATCATGATGATGTTTATTTAGAACTTTAAGGAAGAAAAGGAGGGGTTATCTTAGAAAAAGAGAAATTATACAAATAAGTAGGGCTAGGCACTTGGCCTCCAAGAAGGCATCTTTCCTATGAGAGATTTAGTTATCACAAGACATGCCCTGTACTTTCTGCTCTTCCAAGCTGGGGTCTGTCTAGTCAAGTGCACAATCATCACAGGACATGCTCTATTAAGAATCCCTTTCTTTTGCCATTCCCTATCACTCCTCCCTGAGAGAGACTTCACCCTGATTCATAAGGAAAAGGGGATGGCGTATTCTCTTAGCTACTTCCTGTCGAAAAGGGACGCTGTAGGTTTCAGGGAGAAGAGCTTCTCTCACTACTCTAAAGGGCCCCTTTGGCAGTAGGAAACACATAGACTATTATGGAGATTGATTTTGGAATTTAGATGCACT